GGGCAACTCTTCAAGTCTTTTTATTATTATTTTTATTACATGTACGAATATTACACACTGAAACACCTCGTTGTCTACCTATTTCCATTGCTGGCCTACTGGCTGATTGTTTGATTTGTTTTGACACTTTTTAGCGGTATGGTTTCCGTTTAAAAAGTCCATTATTATATCCTATTGACTAGACTACATGCTTTAATGGTCGGTCAATGTTATTGTTTTGGTTGTCATGACGATTATGTTTACTTCCTTCTGTTCGCCGAGATCCATGGGATACATCAACTTTCTAGCACCACTTTTCGTACTGTTCATAGTTCCGTGTACTTGTATCATCATTTTAACACAAGCCATGGTGGTGAAGATCTGCTTATATGCGAAAAGAAACAAGAATCTATTTATAGATGCCGGATGTAACGCGACCAACAGAACGCGTCTAAGCCAATCAGAAAAAATCTTGACAAAATTGATGTCTATCGTCTTGGTTCTGTTTTTTCTTAACCTCCCCTACCTATTGATATGTTATGTGGAATATTTCTCCATCGACACCTGCTCCTGGCCCGACGCCCCTGATTATGCAATCGCGTTCTTGTTTTTCTCGCTCAATCACGTCGTCATATTTTTTTCTGCGCTTTATTTTTCTAATGCGGCCCAGAAAACAATTTTTTAAATACTCCTTAAACTTCCAGTCAGTGTTTCTTCCAGACTTTTTTCTCCAGGGGGGGGGGGGGGGGGCACTTGAAATTTTCGGGCGGGGGGTGGGGGGGCGGACACTGTTAACTGTGTATATTTTCTATATAAATTCCATTTCGTTAGGGGGGGGGGGGCGGTAGACTTTCTTCGGGGGAGGTGATGCCTGGAAGAAACTCTGCATCCAGTCAATGTTTGAGAAATAAGTGAAATGAAATATCCAGTGGTCTGCATAGGTAGACAGCGTACGGTGATATACTGATGTCTAGAGGCCGTCATCATTCATGTTGTTTGATTGTTTGGCTACTGGTTAAACTGATATACACACTTACAAGCTAAGAAATCAATTTTGAACATTTTTCTTCTGTCACTCAATCTCAGAAGCTATCGCATATTCTTCTATCGTTATTTCAATAAATTTTTATAATCGTGAAACGTGTTGGAAAATAAATAAAAACAGCAACAACTTCTTTATTCTTATTTATTATTTTTCGGTAAGCTTGAATTGTTTTAGTGTCTGATTGATGTATCCATCAATGGATGATTGATGTATCCATCAGTGGATGATTGATGTATCCATCAGTTAATGATTGATGTATCCATCAGTTAATGATTGATGTATCCATCAGTTAATGATTGATGTATCCATCAGTTAATGATTGATGTATCCATCAGTTAATGATTGATGTATACATCAGTGTCTGATTGATATATCCATCAGTGGATGATTGATGTATCCATCAGTTAATGATTGATGTATCCATCAGTGGATGATTGATATATCCATCAGTGGATGATTGATGTGTCCATCAGTTAATGATTGATATATCCATCAGTGGATGATTGATGTATCCATCATTTAATGATTGATGTATACAACTGTGGAGGATTTATGTATCCATCAGTGTCTGATTGATGTATCCATCAGTTATTATTGATGTATCCATCAGTGTCTGATTGATGTATCCATCAGTTATTATTGATGTATCCATCAGTGGATGATTGATGTATCCAACATTTAATGATTGATGTATCCATCAGTTAATGATTGATGTATCCATCAGTGTCTGATTGATGTATCCATCAGTTATTATTGATGTATCCATCAGTGGATGATTGATGTATCCATCATTTAATGATTGATGTATCCATCAGTGTCTGATTGATGTATCCATCAGTGGATGATTGATGTATCCATCAGTTAATGATTGATGTATCCATCAGTTAATGATTGATGTATCCATCAGTTAATGATTGATGTATCCATCAGTTAATGATTGATGTATCCATCAGTGGATGATTGATGTATCCAACATTTAATGATTGATGTATCCATCAGTGGATGATTGATGTATCCAACAGTGGATGATTGATGTATCCATCAGTGTCTGATTGATGTATCCATCAGTGGATGATCGATGTATCCATCAGTGGATGATCGATGTATCCATCAGTGGATGATTAATGTATCCATCAGTTATTATTGATGTATCCATCCGTTTATGACTGTTTGTATGTACCGTATTAAAATGTATGCAACATATGTCCACAAGTATACGTATGTTTGCTATATGTCCACTTAGATAACGAAATAGTAGGGGGGGGGCGACACCAAACATGAAATACAAAATGGTTGGAGGGGAGCAGGTTGACGCCCTCTGTTACCGCACCGGGTTACACCCGACCTGGTGACGCCCTTGTATCCAACTGATCGAATCAATAAGTAAATGATAAAATAAAAATAAAACAAATTATTGTCTCGAGTTCGAACCCTGGGCAGATGAGGCTCGATAGCTGTGGACAGCCACTCTTTTAGGTGAGACAACTCAAAATCAAACAACTGCTATCTTGTAGTTTGTTCTTGGTTGGATAAAGGCTATGTAAGCAAATCCAAAAAGAAAAGAAGGCTGAAATCAGAGTCAACGGCCTATATGGCGCATAACAAAGGAGAGAATCCCTTCCAACATTAAAAAGTAAGAACGAAAAAGAAGAAGAAAGCTTGTTATAGTTTTTATTTTAAAGAAACTGACTTCCATATTTTGTTATTAAATTGATTCCGAAACATTTTCAGATTACTTGTAATTAAAAAGTCATCTATCGGATATAACACAAAGAACTGTTACTTTCACAAACAAAAAAATCTAACTTTCATATAAAGAAAAATAATTTTCCCATTGAGTAAATTTCTTACTTGTAGGAATGTATTGTCAGATGGTAGAGTGTACTAATCGTTATCCGAAAGTCTCCAGTTCAGATCCTGGGCTTGAATCTGTAAGACGTCCTTGAGTCCACCCAGCTACGATGGGTACCCAACTCATGTAGAAAGTAAAAGCGTCTGGGCATAGTGCTGACCACACTATCCCTTCATATGCTGAGTTCACTGAAACAGGTAAACTCTACTTGACCTTTTCTATCAACCCCTTTCCATTAACACCACGCCCCTTTACCCTCACAACCCCACACACACACTCGGAACGTTACACATTTCGCCACTGAAACTATTGGGAAATATACCAAATAGAAATCCCATCATCCAAGAGAAACTATAACACAATCTCTTTATTTAAAAAAAAAATCAAATTGAGTCATGACATAACTGAGCAGGATTTATATATCATACATTTTTCTCCGGGATGGGGGGGGGGGGGGCACTTCCAATAGACACAGTACATTATTTTCCTTATAATTTTTATGTCATTCACCATAGAGAGTGGTAGGTGTAAGCTGGCTAAACTTGCCTGAACGAACAGCATGAAATAACTGATAACCTTATAGTTTTATTCTAGACCAACGTTCATTTACTCCGTGACAGTTGCTCTACCCGTCAGGAGTGTGTACGATCCGACTATGACACACTGACCAGCTTTTGTGTGTTGTATATTTTGTCTCTTGTTCTATTATTAACAACACTATAGAATGTAAGTGATTTGAGTGTATAAGTATAAGTGATACTTGCGAGAATGTATGTAATGATGGCGTGTTTATGTGCGATATGTGCGTGTATGTATGTAATGATAGTGTATATGTGTAAGAGATATGTGCGTGTATGTATGTAATGATGGCGTGTATATGTGTGATATGTACGTGTATGTATGTAATGATGTCGTTTACATGTGTAATTGATACATGCGTGAATGTATGTAATGATGACGTGTGTGATATGTGCGTGTATGTATGTAATTATGGCGTTTACATGTGTAAGAAATATGTTCGTGTATGTACATGTATGCAATGATGGCGTGTAGGCCTACCTGTGTAAGTAATATGTTCGGGTATGTATGAAATGATGGCGTGTACATGTGTAATATGCTCGTGTATGTATGCAATGATGTGTACTTGTGTAAGTGATATGTGCGTGTATGTATTTAAGTTAAAGCGTGTATAAGTATATGTAAATGATATGTTCGTGTAGGTATAAATGTTGAGATATGTATGTATGTATGTATGTCAGAGATATGTGACTGTATGTCATTGTTGGTGTTCATCTGTGTAAGTGATATGTGCGTCTTAAGTGCATACTGAGAAGTATGTGCCCCCCCCCCCCCACACACACACACACACAACGCTAGAGCAATGCCGGAAACAAACACTGGTTACATGTGTTACGTAAGGCTGGGCAGCTATACTTCCTTGTGTTCAGAGTTTCTTCCAGGCATCTCTTCGGGGGGGGGGGGGGATTTTTTTACCGCCCCCCCCCCCCCCGAACGAAACGAAATTTATATAATTTATATAGAAAATATATACTTTTAACTGTGTCCGCCTCCCCCCCCCCCCCACCCCGAAGAAAGTTTACCGCCCCCCCCCCCCCCCGAAGATTTCAAGCCCCCCCCCCCCCCCCCCCCCCCCCGGAGAAAAAAGTCTGGAAGAAACACTGCTTGTGTTATTAATGGCTGGTAAAGCATCTGACAAAATGTGCAGGAAGAAAGAAATTACATACGTCGTAATACTAAATCTAGATCTAGATCTAGATCTAGATCTAATTTTATCAGGTTTTAACTCCTGGGGAAAAAAAATGTACACACATGTAGGACATATTTTTCCAACGCGTGCATTTCCTAGCTCAAAAAATTTAATGTAGTCAAAGTAATGAGAACAGACCCAAGGAGGTGTAAAAAGTCGAGTTTGTCAAAATCTCGAGTTTCGATTTTTTTTTTTTTTTGCACGATTACAATACTTTCTCCAGACTAGTCTACTAGATCTAGAATCTAGATCTAGATATCTGATCTAGCTAGATCAACACGATCATATCATAGAACTTCCCGATAAAAAAAAATAAAGTGAGTGACTCCCCTTGCAAAATTTACATTGTTGAAAACATAAACAGCTTTTGCTCATTCTAGCTACAGCTGGTGACTTCAGACAAGATTCTTGCTGAGTATTGTTCAAGTAGAAAGAAAGAAATCTATATTTAATTATTTAATCAATCAGTTATTTTAATTTGGATAAATATTCACGGCTTAGGCCTATTATTTAATTTAGGGTTTAATCTTCGAATGATTGCTGATGTCAGTGAGATGAATTAAATGAATAGTGATGATTGATTGTTCAAATTGTTGACGCGTTCAAGTGACAGTTTAATAAGTCACAATGAAAGAGTAGGCCATTAAAAAAGGAAAGAGACTGAGAGAGTAGAGTAGTAGATCTAGATCTAATCTAGATCTAGATTCTAGGCCTAACTTGGAGAGAAAGTTACATTACGAAACGATCTGTGTGTCACTCATTAAATTTAAAAAAAAAAAAAAAAACAACATAGAACATAGATTGTCATAGATTCTAGAAAATTAATAGATCTAGAATCTAGTAATAATTGGACACCAGCGAGAAAAGTCTCAAAGGTATTTGAGAGGTGTATAAATTCATTAAAAAATCATGCACAGCGTATTTACAATTAATATGGTTATAAAATCCTGCCTGTCTGGTTTTTTTCGGACTTTACTAAAGATTGGATGTATTTGATGTTTATAATATTTTCGGTAACTAAATAAAAATTAAAAAAAAAGCAAAAACAATTTGGTTTTCACGTGTAATTGCGACATAAACATGGCATCCTGCTATTGGATAGGCTGCCATAGATTTTATTGTACACATTGTAAGCTAAAAATAGAAAACTAGGTCATGGGGTTTTAAATTTGCATTGTTATTTAAAAACTTGATCTGCAAAGTTTTGTAAACAAATAGTTATCGATTACTAAGTTACTGTACAGCCAATCAATATTTGTCTTACGAAAGTGAAACATCCGGTTATAACTTAGGCTTGATGAAAATAAATAGAAATGTAGCCTTAAACTCAACAAATTATTTTCAAGTTCTCTGGATTTGCAACTTTTATAGCATTTATTCTAAGAATATAAAATTTCTAAATTAATTTTAGGCTTAAGTTTTTATTTTTTATTTTTTTTTACGGTCTAAATCTAAAAAAACACGTTTTTATTCCATGACAACAACATTATGGAAGGAATCTCGTCAACTCGCTCGCCTCCATTAATAGACTCGATATTTATTATTATTTATTGATGAGTTAGAATTCTAGACCTATGTCCTAGTCCTAGACTGAATAATATAATAGATAATTACTAAAATTAGGCCTAGATATCACTAAAAAGTCTAGAGATCTAGATCTATAATTAGAAATTATACGCCTAGCTTTAAGTTAGAAGTCAAATAAATGAAATATAGAATCTGGAAGACCCGTTCATTTGTTCAAAGTTGGATTTTAAAAAAAACTCTCAGTCAGTTTTAAAAATATTTATTATTTAGGCCTAATAACTAATAGGATAATGGCTGGCTAATTTAATAATACAACAATACATAATTTTTAATAGGGCCTAATGTCCTCATAGTCCATATGTTTTTAAAGTTTTTAGAATCTTAACTACTAAACTAGATCTAGATCTATGCCCAATCTAGGGCTTAGAGATCATATAAAATTTAAATTTAGTTACTTAGACTATAGACCTACTATACTATAATTATAATAAGTCGTTTAATTCCTTTAATTTATCTTTATGTCTTTTACAGCATGTAGGCCTATTTACTATGTAGGCCTACATTTTTACTTTCTCGTATAGAGAAAGTCTTGTAATCGTCCAAAAAAAAAATATTTACAAATCTCGACGTTTTACACCTCACTGATAAGGAAAAACATAATTTTGCAATCTTGTCCGTATGTCTGTGTGTCTGTCTGTCTGTGTGTAAACACGATAACTTGAGTACCGTTACAGCTAGGTTGATGAAATTTCATATATAAGTATTTTATCAAAATCGTAGATCCCTATCAACTTTTGAGCGATTTCCAATAACCGGAAGTGGTACTTTTTCCACTTTGAATTTTTCAAAAGCCTCTAACTTGAGTACTATTTCAGATAGATAAATGAAATTTCTCATATAAGTAAAAGATCTAATTTTCTACCTTCTGTCAAATTTTGAGTAATTTCCGTTGACCGGAAGTACCAATTTACGCTATTTTCGATTTCTCAAAAAACGCATGTAAATTTATAAAGTACTAATAATATTGTGCACTATTATGCACATTTTGTTTTGGCGTTCGCTTGGTGCGCAGTTCTTTTTTCTATGAGATTCTATTCTATTTTTAAAAGTTTAAGTAATTAAAAATCATGTCTATATTCCAAGTTATATAAGAATATTCGAGAAAGTTCAGGGGAGATCACTCCCGGTTTATTTTTCATAATTTTAAAATATTAACATTAGTCATTTGACATTATATTTATTACAATTTCATTTAGTTTTAGGGCCTAGCCTAGATCTACTAAGTAATACGTGAGATATTAGGCACTCTTAGGATACACACAGTCTCAGTAAGTAAAGCAGATGATTATTTCTGATTTAGTTTAGGCCTTAGAGGTCATTTATGATGTTCACATAGGAGTGGATGCATGTGGACTGGAGGGGGGAGGGGGTCGTGTCCATGTTGACATCCACATGTTGAATTTAACATCATAGTACTAACATTTTAAAAACACATTATGATACTTGATCTTGCATGTAAAAAGTAAAATTATGATGACAGTTCTCGTGTTTAAAAAAAACCCATTTATACCTACACTGGGGTCATCTTTATCATAAGGGGCGTCTTAATTTTTAAAACTATTTTTACCTTCTTCTCTCCTCAACATCACGCAGCATCGCAAAAAGTCAAAACACAACCCCCTAAAATGATGTCACTCCTCCCCCTATGTCATCTCTCAAGACTATTTTGTTTTTTAAAACTGCAATTTTTTAAAATACAATATGTACTGGCCTCAGTCAACGTTGAGTAGGCCTGGATTGATCAATGTATTTAAATTTATAACAACTTTTTTTTATTAATGTCAAGCAATGGCTTGAATTCAGTTTACTACATTATTGCAAAAACACTTCATCACACTTTTTGAAACCCATCTCCCCACTCGCATCACATTTCACATATCCGAACTTCCACACTGGAGGGTGACACTATTTATGGAAAATCCCTTTTAATTTTAGTGAGAAATGAGTTAAACAGGAATTACTGTCATGAGCCTGAGTAGAACTAGCAACTTATTAATTCATCTTATAAATGTTAAAATTAATTATTTAAGTACTTGCAGCAGAAGAGAATAACACTTTCAGACATTTTTTCCCCGATCGCACACAAAAAGTGTTTAATACATTGTTAGCGAAAAGATAAAAAAACAAATGGTAGCTGCAGTGAGGTTAATGTAATTAGTAATAAAACAGATAGTATTAGTTACCTCACAAGTTAAAGACAGTTACAAGTACTATGGACGTTTCGACCCAAGGTCTTCGTCAGCACACAACAGTGTGATTACAGATTAGACAAATAAAGACAAACAGTAACACATTTTTTGACTTAGCTCGAGCTAAGTCAAAAAATGTGTTACTGTTTGTCTTTATTTGTCTAATCTGTAATCACACTGTTGTGTGCTGACGAAGACCTTGGGTCGAAACGTCCATAGTACTTGTAACTGTCTTTAACTTGTGAGGTAACTAATACTATCTGTTTTATTACTATTTAATACATTGTTTGAGTTTTTGTTTTTTAATCGGAATAAATATTAAAATAAATCATATAATTATACTTTGACATTTTAAACAATAATTTTTCTTCTAGTTTGTAATTTTAATTTTTGGGCCAATTTATATACTAGCCAAAAATATCACATTTGTATATCAGTTGATAGGCACACAATACATGTTCTTGAAATATTAAGTTGGTAGTAAGTTTTGAGAAGTCAACTAACTTAATTTTTGAGGTGGAGGTCCCCATGGGTGTGGTGTGTGTGTGTGTGGGGGGGGGGGGGTGTTCTAAAACTTTTGTGTCCAAAACTTTTGTTTTCATAAATGGATAAAAAGTAGACAATTAAAATATTTGTGAGCATAGGAATTTCTTAACAACAGTATTAGTTACAGTTTTTGGTAGCAGGCAGTATTAGTTTCTAATGGAATGTTAGTGAACTGTAAAATCAATCCAATTTTACTAGCTCTTAACTTAGCCTTAATCATCATTATTGGTTATTTCCACTCAAAGAATATGCAAGTAATCAAATAATAAAGAGCCTCTGTAGCCTGACCTTCTCAGTCTAATCTACCGCCCACCCAAACTTTATTACACATGTATGTACTTAAATGAGTGCAGCTGATGATATTTATAACTCTTGTTATTGTCTTTATCTTCATTGATAACCACCTTAATTTAGGTACCCTCCAGATAAAACCCCTTAACCTCGTCTACAGTGACGGGGCAAGTTTATTTATAGTCAGACATGCTTTAAAGAAAAGTCGTCCGCAAATGTTGACATACACATCCCAATCAGCCCAAATGCCAATAACCTAGATTGTATTGCTACCAGTACTTGAGTTGTTGAGGTCAAGAACAGAACAAGTTGTCAAAGCTTTTGTGTCACTGGCCTGTTTATGTTGAGATAACCCAGCCTAGGACTATATAAGCCTAGTCTGACTTGTCTCCCTTCACTATCTCCCCAGAGCAGCAGAGTAGCAGCAGCTAAGCAGGACATTCTCACACTTGTCATTTGAGTTGCTCCTCGTGTTTGACACTTGTCATTTGAGTTGCTTCTCTTGTTTGACACTTGTCATTTGAGTTGCTCCTCGTGTTTGACACTTGTCGTTTGAGTTGCTCCTCGTGTTTGACACTTGTCATTTGAGTTGCTCCTCGTGTTTGACATTTGTCATTTGAGTTGCTCCTAGTGCCAGGTCAGAAGATGAATCCAGCTGCCCCATTGGTGATTGTTTGCTCTCTGCTTCTACTTTGTGAGATAGCTGAGCCGTCCCCGCCAGAGAGTCTAAAGCTAGTCAGTGTGGTAAGTGATGGCCAATTTTTTAAGGACGTAAACAAGTGTTATTTACAGCAATCTAAAAAATTTCACTAGTCGGTAAGTGATGGTCAGCTTTTTTAGGATTTAAACAAGCGTTATTTACGACAAACTAAAAAATTCCCTAGTTAGTGTGTTAAGTGATGTCCAGTTTTTTTAGGATTTAAACAAGTGTTATTTACAACAAACTAAACATCATGATTTATTACTTTCTGTATACATCTTATTTGTTTATTACAAACTTTTATGTTAAGCTTGTGGTATAGAATTGACTGTGCTTAAGAAAAGAATTAGTAGAAATGCTGTAATGAAGGTTATATTAAGGACTAAGACTCTTTAGTTTTAATTTCAATAGTCATGATTCTCATTCAAAGTTATGTATCGTTTGCATTTCTTTTGTCAAAAATATAGTTATTTAAAATTATATTTCTAAAATTTAATTCGATTGAAAACTTTAAGCAAGTACAAATAAGTGTATTGATTTTGAATTACTAATTTGAGTAGCATGGTAAAGTTGTACATGTGTAGGGTTAAATCACATGTGAACAACAGCTTGAAGCTGTTGCTTCAGTTTTTTTAAAGTACATATTTGTTCTTGTTTTTTGTTTTCTAATGTCCATATTTGTTCTTGTTTTTTGTTTTCTAATGTCCATATTTGTTCTTGTTTTTTTGTTTTCTAATGTCCATATTTGTTCTTGTTTTTTTGTTTTCTAATGTCCATATTTGTTCTTGTTTTTTGTTTTCTAATGTCCATATTTGTTGTTGTTTTTTTGTTTTCTAATGTCCATATTTGTTCTTGTTTTTTTGTTTTCTAATGTCCATATTTGTTCTTGTTTTTTTGTTTTCTAATGTCCATATTTGTTCTTGTTTTTTTGTTTTCTAATGTCCATATTTGTTCTTGTTTTTTGTTTTCTAATATCCATATTTGTTCTTGTTTTTTTGTTTTCTAATGTCCATATTTGTTCTTGTTTTTTGTTTTCTAATGTCCATATTTGTTCTTGTTTTTTGTTTTCTAATGTCCATATTTGTTCTTTTTTTATGTTTTCTAATGTCCATATTTGTTCTTGTTTTTTGTTTTCTAATGTCCATATTTGTTCTTGTTTTTTGTTTTCTAATGTCCATATTTGTTCTTGTTTTTTGTTTTCTAATGTCCATATTTGTTCTTGTTTTTTTGTTTTCTAATGTCCATATTTGTTCTTGTTTTTTTGTTTTCTAATGTCCATATTTGTTCTTGTTTTTTTGTTTTCTAATGTCCATATTTGTTCTTGTTTTTTTGTTTTCTAATGTCCATATTTGTTCTTGTTTTTTGTTTTCTAATGTCCATATTTGTTCTTGTTTTTTGTTTTCTAATGTCCATATCTGTTCTTGTTTTTTGTTTTCTAATGTCCATATTTGTTCTTGTTTTCTAATGTCCATATTTATTCTTGTTTTTTGTTTTCTAATTTGTGTATTAGTTTCAGCTTGATTTTTGTTTACAATACCCACACAATGTGGTAGAAAGAAAGAAATGTGTTTATAAATACTTGATTTCCTCTCATTCATACTTCACACACCCAATGTATGGCACATACACCCAATGTATGGCACATACACCCAATGTATACCCAAAAAAAAAATAACAAAACAACATGTGTGTTTATAAATGTAAATTTCTTCTCATCCACACTCCATCATAAAGTTATCAAGCATTGTTTTGGTATGTCCTAATTATCGTTAACCCTGTCTGTCTCATGATAATGGCTGTGTGTACACAAGGCTTATCTCATGTGTAGGTAGGTGGTATGTAGACCAGGTAATGAGATAACTGACCTTTGTTTTTGTTTTCGTTCTCCAGCTTTATCGTCATGGTGACCGTAGCCCAGTGTCTATTTACCCATTGGACATCAACCAAGTGGCCAATGCCTGGCCAGATGGTCTTGGATGGCTAACTAATGTAAGCTCATTACATGCGGTCATTAATCTTTATGTTGGTTTAATGGAAGAAAAGAATATTTTATGTTTATCTAATGTAAGCTCATTACATGCTGTCATTAATCTTTATGTTGGTTTAAAGGAAGAAAAGAATATTTTATGTTTATCTAATGTAAGCTCATCACATGCTGTCATTAATCTTTATGTTGGTTTAATGGAAGAAAAGAATATTTTATGTTTATCTAATGTAAGCTCATTACATGCTGTCATTAATCTTTATGTTGGTTTAAAGGAAGAAAAGAATATTTTATGTTTATCTAATGTAAGCTCATTACATGCTGTCATTAATCTTTATTTTGGTTTAAAGGAAGAAAAGAATATTTTATGTTTATCTAATGTAAGCTCATTACATGCTGTCATTAATCTTTAATTTGGTTTAAAGGAAGAAAATAATATTTTATGTTTATCTAATGTAAGCTCGTTACATGCTGTCATTAATCTTTATTTTGGTTTAAAGGAAGAAAAGAATATTTTATGTTTATCTAATGTAAGCTCATTACATGCGGTCATTAATCTTTATTTTGGTTTAAAGGAAGAAAAGAATATTTTATGTTTATCTAATGTAAGCTCATTACATGCGGTCATTAATCTTTATTTTGGTTTAAAGGAAGAAAAGAATATTTTATGTTTATCTAATGTAAGCTCATTACATGCTGTCATTAATCTTTATGTTGGTTTAATGGAAGAAAAGAATATTTTATGTTTATCTAATGTAAGCTCATTACATGCTATCATTAATCTTTATGTTGGTTTAAAGGAAGAAAAGAATATTTTATGTTTATCTAATGTAAGCTCATTACATGCTGTCATTTATCTTTATTTTGGTTTAAAGGAAGAAAAGAATATTTTATGTTTATCTAATGTAAGCTCATTACATGCTGTCATTAATCTTTATGTTTGTTTAAAGGAAGAAAAGAATATTTTATGTTTATCTAATGTAAGCTCATTACATGCTGTCATTAATCTTTATTTTGGTTTAAAAGAAGAAAAGAATATTTTATGTTTATCTAATGTAAGCTCATTACATGCTGTCATTAATCTTTATGTTTGTTTAAAGGAAGAAAAGAATATTTTATGTTTATCTAATGTAAGCTCATTACATGCTGTCATTAATCTTTATTTTGGTTTAAAGGAAGAAAAGAATATTTTATGTTTATCTAATGTAAGCTCATTACATGCTGTCATTAATCTTTAATTTGGTTTAAAGGAAGAAAATAATATTTTATGTTTATCTAATGTAAGCTCGTTACATGCTGTCATTAATCTTTATTTTGGTTTAAAGGAAGAAAAGAATATTTTATGTTTATCTAATGTAAGCTCATTACATGCGGTCATTAATCTTTATTTTGGTTTAAAGGAAGAAAAGAATATTTTATGTTTATCTAATGTAAGCTCATTACATGCGGTCATTAATCTTTATTTTGGTTTAAAGGAAGAAAAGAATATTTTATGTTTATCTAATGTAAGCTCATTACATGCTGTCATTAATCTTTATTTTAGTTTAATGGAAGAAAAGAATATTTTATGTTTATCTAATGTAAGCTCATTACATGCTGTCATTAATCTTTAATTTGGTTTGAAGGAAGAAAAGAATATTTTATGTTTGTCTAATGTAAGCTCATTACATGATGTCCTTAATCTTTAATTTGGTTTAAAGGAAGAAAAGAATATTTTATGTTTATCTAATGTAAGCTCATTACATGCTGTCATTAATCTTTAATTTGGTTTAAAGGAAGAAAAGAATATTTTATGTTTATCTAATGTAAGCTCATTACATGCTGTCATTAATCTTTATTTTAGTTTAAAGGAAGAAAAGAATATTTTATGTTTATCTAATGTAAGCTCATTACATGCTGTCATTAATCTTTATGTTGGTTTAAAGGAAGAAAAGAATATTTTATGTTTATCTAATGTAAGCTCATTACATGCTGTCATTAATCTTTAATTTGGTTTAAAGGAAGAAAAGAATATTTTATGTTTATCTAATGTAAGCTCATTACATGCGGTCATTAATCTTTAATTTGGTTTAAAGGAAGAAAAGAATATTTTATGTTTGTCTAATGTAAGCTCATTACATGCTGTCATTAATCTTTAATTTGGTTTAAAGGAAGAAAAGAATATTTTATGTTTATCTAATGTAAGCTCATTACATGCTGTCATTAATCTTTATTTTGGTTTAAAAGAAGAAAAAAAAATTGTGTGTTTACCTAATTATAATGAATGTAAATAGTCTGTTTTATGTTTACATAATTGTAATGTATGTAAATAGTGTATTTTATATTTACATAATTATTATGTATGTAAATAGTCTTTTTTTATGTTTACATAATTATATATGTCTATCGCTCTAACACTAGGCCACACAGTCCCATTTTACATAATTATAATAAATGTAAATATTCTTTTAATTGAAGGTGGGTAAAGTTCAACAATATGAACTAGGACAATATCTGAAACAACGTTATGATGGTTTTATAAACACATCATACTACCATCATGATGAGGTAAGTCATCAATTTAATATTGTAGTGTAGATTTTTATCATACACACACAAAAAGATCTCTTTAAAAATACTTTTTGCGATGATCCATTTCCCCCCCCCCCCCCCCCCCCCCAACTTCCATCAGTTATATTGATGGATGAGTGAATATATTTTAGAATGGTAATAGTTTTCCTTTACTAAATGGTTTATTCTGTTAGACTAAATTCTTGATCAATCATTGCAAAATCTTGACATGTAAGTATAAATTTAAAAAAAAACCATTGTTGTTTCCTTTACTACAAATAATGTAATGCGTAAAATAAAGTATATGTTCCTATCTATACAAACATTCATTCACTACTGTTTTATCTTCATTACAAATAACCAAGCCTAATACTTACACAAAATTCAAATCTTTTACTACTAGAATACCCTTGACTATTTCTTATTGCTACCTAGATTTAAGTATAACAAAATGATTGACAGAGCCAAATATAAAATTGAATGTATCACATATTATTCAGATGCATGCTTCTTACATCACAGTATATGATTAGTTGTTCCCCAGACCCTAACATTACACTGAATGTTCCCCTAACATCACACTGAATGTTCCCCAGACCCTAACATCACACTGAATGTTCCCCTAACATCACACTGAATGTTCCCCAGACCCTAACATCAAACTGAATGTTCCCCAAACCCTAACATCACCCTGAATGTTCCCCTAACATCACACTGAATGTTCCCCTAATATCACACTGAATGTTCCCCTAACATCACACTGAATGTTCCCCTAACATCACACTGAATGTTTCCCTAACATCACACTGAATGTTCCCCAGATCCAGGTCCAGTCCTCTGGTGTAGAGAGATGCCTGATGTCTGCCTCTAGCAACTTGGCTGGACTTTACCCCCCTCAGGACGGCCAGATCTGGAACCCTGACATTCTCTGGCAGCCCATCCCAGTCCAGACCCTCCCCACCACAATGGATAATGTAAGCCTTCTTTCTTCAGCCACAATGGATAATGTAAGCCTTCTTTCTTCAGCCACAATGGATAATGTAAGCCTTCTTTCTTCAGCCACAATGGATAATGTAAGCCTTCTTTCTTCAGCCACAGTAGTTCTATTGTTGTCTTATCCCCACCACAATGGATAATGTAAGCCTTCTTTCTTCAGCCACAGTAGTTCTATTGTTGTCTTATCCCCACCACAATGGATAATGTAAGCCTTCTTTCTTCAGCCACAATGGATAATGTAAGCCTTCTTTCTTCAGCCACAATGGATAATGTAAGCCTTCTTTCTTCAGCCACAGTAGTTCTATTGTTGTCTTATCCCCACCACAATGGATAATGTAAGCCTTCTTTCTTCAGCCACAGTGGTTCTATTGTTGTCAAATATTCCCTACTAGCCGACCCGCAGTGTGTCATACACGGCTATTTGTTTTTTCTACTTTTCAGTAATTCATAATTTGTGAATTCGACAGTACCAATGCTGCCACTGAAAATATTTGCTTTAAAACACTAAACCCCCATTCCGCCCCCCCCCCCCCCCCCGTGAAAGCAGCCTCCTCTTAGTTACCTCCTCTAAGTTTAAAATAGTTTCAAACTGAATTATCTGCCCCTAATTGCCGTCACCAAACCCGGCCTTACGATTGTTTTGTAAACATTTAGCGTGAACTACAACTCACCTGACCATGTGAGGGGGGTGGGGGGGGGGGATGGTAAGCAATAGAGAGGAAGAGAGGGGACTGCAAGGCTCGCGCTTGCAGCTTGTTTTCTTATGTCTCCCAGAAGAGAATTATATATAGATAGATAGATAGTCAGTTTTGACCAAATTTGACAACCCTTGTTTACTAAATACAAAATCTCCACTGTGTGTTCACACAATCATTGAACTCGGCACAGTCCTGACATTAAAATGTTGCTAGAGTACAGAGAATCATTCATGTCTAGTCACTCGTACATCCCTGCTTGTGTAAACATGCTCACAGAACCTGTTACATTCATTGCACTGAAGACCCTGAATGAATAATGAATGACGTCAATAAATCATCATTTGATGACAGCTACACATTATCTCATATAGGGACACACGTTACCTTGTTTTTTTTATCTTTTGGTTTACCATATTGTAGCTTATTTCATATACACTATATGTTAAACATGATTTTCACGTAAAATAATGAAATATTGACTTTTTTAACCAAGCTTTTGGGTCACTATGTTTAATGTTTTATACAAGTATGGGTAAAACTTATGTCTGTTTTCCTACTGCTTTATTACAATTTTCTTTTGCACGTAACTTTAATTAAGTCAAAAGACAATCTGTCAATTTTTCTGCTGAAAATTATGCATGTATTAGTTCTTCAAGATGCGTTTTAGTTCTCAAACTTTAAATCTTAGGACTATTGTAAAAAATTATATTTTTTCTCCCATTCTATTCTGGTTGTTACTAGTGAGTGAACTTAATTAAAAGCATGTATCTATGTGTTATCAGTGTTATGTAATATTTAAGAAACAAAAGTTCTTGTTTTATCAGCATTTGTTGTTACAATCTAAGCTATTTGTGCTGTGTATCATTCTTGGTTTTTAGTTGTTTGTTAGTTAAGTCTCTGATGGCACTGGAAGTTAGAATTTTTATTTTGGATACTAGTAAGACTCAACCCTTTAACACTTTCTTAGAAAAATATGTTAGGTGTAACTAATTTAGTCACCAACTAATTTAGTCACCCACTTGCATGTCAGCTGTAACTAATTTAGTCACCAACTAATTTAGTCACCAACTTGTATGTCATGTGTAACTAATTTAGTCACGCACTTGCATGTCAGGTGTAACTAATTTAGTCACCAACTAATTTAGTCACCCACTTACATGTCAGTTGTAACTAATTTAGTCACCAACTAATTTAGTCACCAACTTGTATGTCATGTGTAACTAATTTAGTCACCCACTTGCATGTCAGCTGTAACTAATTTAGTCACCAACTAATTTAGTCACCCACTTGCATGTCAGGTGTAACTAATTTAGTCACCAACTAATTTTGTCACCCACTTGCATGTCAGGTCTAACTAATTTAGTCACCCACTTGCATGTCAGCTGTAACTAATTTAGTCACCCACTTGCATGTCAGCTGTATATAATTTAGTCACCAACTTTTATGCCAGCTGTAACTAATTTAGTCACCAACTTCTGTGTCTGTACAGAAACTGGCCCAAGGAGCGCCATGTCCAAGATATGACCAATTAGTGCAGGAGGTCCTCAACTCTCCAGCCATTCAAAAAGAAGAACAGGAAAATAAGGTGGTGTTTTATGTTAGTCACTGGGCACCTTAGTATTTTTATTCCCTGTTGGTGACTTGCTACTGTTGTACTTTTAATGTAGTTTTTTAAAATAATTTTGGTGCCTCGTAAATGCGTTATTTTTGTTCCTGCTCGTACACTATATCTGAGAAAAAATTGTTGAAAGATGTTGTGATCCACTGTTTGTTACCCACTGTTTGTTACCCACTGTTTGTTACCCACTGTTTGTTACCCACTGTTTGTTACCCACTGTTTGTTACCCACTGTTTGTTACCCACTGTTTGTTACCCACTGTTTGTTACCCACTGTTTGTTACCCACTGTTTGTTACCCACTGTTTGTTGCCCACTGTTTGTTACCCACTGTTTGTTACCCACTGTTTGTTACCCACTGTTTGTTACCCACTGTTTGTTACCCACTGTTTGTTACCCACTGCTTGTTTGATCTTGCAGGCCTTCTATGACATGGTGGAGAAAAACACAGGAGTCCCGAAGGAAAGTATTAAGGACATCTGGAGTGTTGGGGATACCCTGGTCTGTGAGGTAGGTCTTTGTTGGGTGGTAGGTCTTTGTTGGGTGGTAGGTCTTTGTTGGGTGGTAGGTTTTTGTTGGGTGGTAGGTTTTTGTTGGGTGGTAGGCTACACTGTTCTGTGAGGTAGGTCTTTGTTGGGTGGTAGGCTACACTGTTCTGTGAGGTAGGTCTTTGTTGGGTGGTAGGGTACACTGGTCTGTGAGGTAGGTCTTTGTTGGGTGGTAGGTTTTTGTTGGGTGGTAGGCTACACTGTTGTGTGAGGTAGGTCTTTGTTTCATGTGAGTGGTAGGGTACACTGTTCTGTGAGGTAGGTCTTTGTTTCATGTGGGTGGTAAGGTACACTGTTCTGTGAAGTAGGTCTTTGTTTCATGTGGGTGGTAGGGTACACTGTTCTGTGAGGTAGGTCTTTGTTGGGTGGTAGGGTACACTGATCTGTGAGGTAGGTCTTTGTTGGGTGGTAGGTCTTTGTTGGGTGGTAGGTTTTTGTTGGGTGGTAGGCTACACTGTTCTGTGAGGTAGGTCTTTGTTTCATGTGAGTGGTAGGGTACACTGTTCTGTGAGGTAGGTCTTTGTTTCATGTGGGTGGTAAGGTACACTGTTCTGTGAAGTAGGTCTTTGTTTCATGTGGGTGGTAGGGTACACTGTTCTGTGAGGTAGGTCTTTGTTTCATGTGGGTGGTAGGGTACACTGTTCTGTGAGGTAGGTCACATTGTGTTTATCTCATGCGCAGCGTGCTCACAATCTGACCTGGAATGCCTGGGCCCAACAGCCTGGTGTGTGGGAGAAGATGCAGCAGTTGAACACCCTCAGCTTTGACCTGGTAACCTACAACAACGAGATGGCCAAACTGAAAGGAGGTTTGTGTCAATTGTGTTTGTCTCTTCTTGTAACCTTCTCCTAGCGGCCAAACTGAAAGGAGGTTTGTGTTTAACATCTTTATTTGTGTTTGTCTCTTAACGGCCAAACTGAAAGGAGGTTTGTGTTTAACATCTTCATTTATGTTTGTCTCATAGCAGCCAAACTGAAAGGAGGTTTGTGTTTAACATCTTTATTTGTGTTTGTCTCTTAACGGCCAAACTGAAAGGAGGTTTGTGTTTAACATCTTCATTTATGTTTGTCTCATAGCAGCCAAACTGAAAGGAGGTTTGTGTTTAACATCTTCATTTGTGTTTGTCTCGTAGCGGCCAAACTAAAAGGAGGTTTGTGTTTAACATCTACAGTTGTGTTTTTCTCCTTCTCATAGCGGCCAAACTGAAAGGAGGTTTGTTTTTAACATCTTGATTTGTGTTTGTCACTTCTTGTAATGTTCTCATAGCGGCCAAACTGAAAGGAGGTTTGTGTTTAAAATCTACAGTTGTGTTTGTCTCTTCTTGTAGCCTTCTCATAGCCGCCAAACTGAAAGGAGGTTTGTGTTTAAAATCTATAGTTGTGTTTGTCTCCGCATGTAACCTTCTCATTAGTGTGGACTTGATTACCAGCTGAGTTCGGTTGGAATTAGGAAATGTTGAAGTGTGAGTTTTATCTTGTTTCTATTTAAACTGGGCAGGGATGGCAAGCCTTGAGTTAGCTCTTTTAGGTTTTATTTATATCAGGATTGGTTAGTTATAAATTTCATTTGCAGAAGATGAAACAGCAATTGGCTTTTAAAAATAGAAATCTGCATTCTTTAAGTTAATTATGACAAGGAACTTGAGCTGCATAATTTTGTTGTATAACATGGTTGAGTTGATGATAAATTGCGGATGGAATTGACTGTAAGAATTGATGGGGTGAACCAGATGTTTTAAAGACAGTGTTATAAAATGTGATTTCCCTACCTACACAGGCCCTCTAGCCAATATTTTAAAATGTGATCCTGTGTGATTTCCCTAACTACACAGCCCTCAATATTTTAAAATGTGATCTTGTGTGATTTCCCTAACTACACAGGTCCTCTACTGAAAGAAATAATCGCCAACATGCAAAATGCTGCAACACAAACCCTACCCAAGTTTTATATGTACTCTGCTGTAAGTACTTGTACAATATTTCTTAGTTTAAGTACATGAGCGCTCTACTGTAAATCTAAGCAGGATATTTCTTGACGTAATGTTTGTTTTTGTTATCTAATTTAATGTAAGATTACATTAATGATTCTTACTGTGATAGTAAATTGTAAAGCATCCCACTTGACAGGTTATCTAGGGCCTAATTGTTAGGCCAGCTGCTACTCTTAGAAAACCTGTCTCACTATATCTCTTGTAAAGAGAATTTTGAATGTGTTGGGTGAATCAGACTGAAAGTTATAGGAGTAAATACGACTATTAGAGAATTGTAAACTGTGTTATGTATCTATTATATTTTGTGTTCAAAATATTTTGTGTTGAAAAGAGAACAATGAATAGCTTAAAATATCTACTAATGTACTTAAAGAAACCTGAATATCTAAATATATCTATGAAAGTATTTATAGACACCTTAATTTGTATAGATATCTATGACTGTATTTATAGAAGCCTGAATGTGTATAGATATCTATGACTGTATTTATAGAAGCCTGAATGTGTATAGATATCTATGACTGTATTTATAGAAACCTGTATGTGTATAGATAACTATGACTATTTATAGAAGCCTGAATGTGTAACATGAGCATTCTGTCCCCAGCATGATACGACCGTAGCTGCGCTCCTCTCTGCCCTACATGTGTTTGACCGCCACGCCCCGACGTACAGGGCGCTGGTCATGGTTGAGTTGCATCAGATCCAGGATGTCTATGGCGTTAAGATTTTCTACAGGAACGACACGACTAGAGATCCTTATGAGCTGGTGGTACCAGGTCAGTCTGTAGATCATTCTGTAGGTCAGACTGTAGGTCTGTAGGTCATTCTGTAGGTCAGTAGGTCATGTGGGTAGAGGGGTTTATTATGACACCACTAGAGATCCTTATGACCTGATTGTCCCATGTTAGTCTGTAGGTCACGTGGGTTGAGTGGTTTATCTTGAGCCACCAACTTTGGTTTAATAAAATGTCATTTTACATGTAAAAACAATAGGAGATCATATTCAATACTGTTTTTTCAAAGTATAGTAACCTGGCTTTAATCATAACCTAGCCTTAAGCTGCAGTACAACTGATACAAATTCAATAGGAATAGGAAACACAGTTAAAACTATAAAGAGAAAATGTTATTGGTATGCCAGTCATACAAGTTGCTCTCACCTCTAGATTTCCATCTGATATGGGTTGCACCTGAAATCATAGAACTAACTTTCTTAATTTGTCCCCTCCACCCCCTCCCCTCCCCCACAGGTTGCCAGTCCCCATGTAAGCTAGATGATCTGATCACCCTAACAAAGGACACAGTCCCTGTGGACTGGGACGCTGAATGTAAGGCCCAGACATCAGTGGCTGCATCAGGTGCACTTACACCAGGTACGTCCAGGTGTACTACAGCGTCTTGTTTGTGTGCACCTTCTTGTTTTGTTGTTTCATCAACTTAATGAAATAAAGCAAGTAGTACAGTGTTTATGTTGTGTAGGTTGGGAGCTGACACACATACAACTGTTATGTTGTCTCTGGCCTGTAGGCCTGAAGATATCTGGCCACCAGTGTAGTTGGCCAGCTATATAGTTGGCCACCAGTGTAGTTGGCCAGCTATATAGTTGGCCACCAGTGTAGTTGGCCAGCTATATAGTTGGCCACCAGTGTAGTTGGCCAGCTATATAGTTGGCCACCACTATACAAATTAGTCATTAGTTTAGTTAGCCTGTGGTAAATGGTTGCCAGTATATAGTTGTTGGCCAGCCATATAACGGCCACCTGTAAAGTTGTTTGGCAGCCAATTCTAGTAGCCACAAAGATACACTTCACCAACATCTTGTAACTAACAATATTTTTAGAGTGGTTTGTCAGTATCATTTCAAACCAGTGGAAACATTATTGTAACATTGCTGCCAAAATTGATCAGACCTCTTTTCAGTGGCATTTTACATATGTAGTCTGTCTTGGCTCAAAACAGCCATGCTGTAATTAACTGAGCCTATTGTAATATTTTTAAAATAACATCTTGCTGTGTCATTGTTTTTTTCTGCTTAGCTGTGATTATCCTAAACTTGATCCTTTCCTTATGGATGTAAACAAGGGTACAGTTTTGAAACCAAATAATTTCCTTCTGCTGCTACTCACAATCAGCTTCAGTCTTTTTTGCTACAGTTTATATTTTACGTACACATTATAAACTAAAAAAATATAAAATTATATAATCTATGTATAAAGTTGTGTTTTTAATCAACTCTGTTGTATGCCCATTTTAAGATTTAAATGAAAGAATTCTTTTTTTAACTGTTCCTGTGTGCTCCTGCGCTACTGCCTTCTTTACAAATTCCAGTAGGAATAAATACCCACAACTTCCAAAACGATATCCCATGTAAACTCAACAAGTTCGTACTCAGCATCTTTTGTCCTATTTACTAGCTTAACAAGCTTGTTATGTAGAATTTATTCCAACGCAATAAGAGCAGCTTTGCAATGTGGACAACAATTTTTTTTGCCTAAACAACTGATGTTATATTGGCAAAGGGAAATAACCAGTAACTCAAGCTCTTTGACCCAATAAGATATTTTAACTGGGATAAGCAAAACTTAGTTAGCTTCACTTCTGAGTATGCATTTTAATATTTGTTATATTATCTTTACCAAATGGCATTATAAGTATAAAAACTGGGCATGGGTACGTAAACTGAATTGCAATAAAAGGTTTTGGAAGTTTTATTTAACTAGCACTAACTAGCCAAATGTTTAGGCTTAAAGTCACCATCAAGGTTTTGGAAGTTTTATTTAACTAGCACTAACCAGCCAAATGTTTAGGATTAAAGTCACCATCATGGTTTTGTAAGTTTTATTCAACTAGCACTAACTAGCTTAATTGTTCAGGGTTAATAAACTTTGTATCACCATCCAAAAGATAAGTTTAATGGAAGGTTTTGTAAGTTTTATTCAACTAGCACTAACTAGCTTAATTGTTCAGGGTTAATGAACTTTGTGCCACCTTCCAAAAGATAATTGCACTGGTAGGAAGTTTAAATTTACTAGCAGTAACTAGCTGAATGTGTAGAGTTAGTGTCGCCATCAAGATTTTGGAAGTTTTATTTAGCTAGTACAAACTAGCTGACATGGTGTGCTGCTTTTCAAATTGCTTTTTTTTTTCTATTTCCAACACGTATTCACATTGACTTCAGTTCAATTAAAATTGAAACTACTCAGATAATCATCCTTACAATTGTCATAAACTTGATAAAACTAATTGAATGAAATTAACTGCAGTATTGATTTCTTTGATAATGAGCTTGACCATTTAAATTTTACTTTCACTGAGCATAAATCATTTGTTTTTCAGAAATTTCTCATAAGAATATTTTTGTTTGATATTTTTACTAACAAATTGTTTAGTTTATAGTTTTACAATTTGAAACATAAATCGTAGCTCATCCATCATTTACCATATTGAGATATGTGAATTGAACACCACTGTTGAATTTGTTGTATTTACTGCGATGCCAACTTCTAACAACACAAATTTCTATTTTTAGCCTCCTGGATTGCCCTGAGTGTAGGCATCTGTATCTGTGTCATCATCGCAGTGGCGCTGGTTGTCATGGTGATCAGGCTCAAGAGGAGGCAGGCTGGAGTCTACTCCAAGCTTTGACCAAGTTTGTTAGAGCCTCATTGAATCCACTCACATCCTGATGTTAATTTATTTGCTCCAGTCCATTGTTGGTTTAAAAAAAATCTAATTTTAATCTAGTGACAAGATAGTCCCACCCACTATCAAAATCAATCCCACTTTATGTACAAATTGAAGTGATGTTTTTTTTTGTTACATTTCGTTTTTTTTTTTTAACAAACAAAAAAAATCCCCAAGTCCTTACATCAAGAGAATGTTTGGCTTGTTTTGGTTTTCAGTTGAGTTGAAGAAAAGTTATAAAAATCTGGTATGTTAATGTTTTTGTTTCATTGTTTTTATAAATTGTTTAAGTAAATGCCACTTAAAATAATCAATTGTATAAATGATTCTCCGGTCTTCCAAATAGATTTAGCCTACAGTTAGTAGCTAGTCTAGTTTCAACTGTTAGAACAATAGGTGATTATGTACTCATATTTTAGTTAAGTAAAACTGTTCTGTAGTTGTTTCATAAGATCTAAGTCAGAACAAAAGATGTTCTATGATGATAAAAGAGCATGCTTGCTCTAAGTTGTTTTGTTATTGTATTTAATTTTAAATCAAATGATGGATATTATTTTTTAATGTTATCAATTCACAAAAAAATGTTTTTTTTAAATATAAAAAGCCAGCCAAATTATGTAGTCTAAGTCAGCTATGTTATATTATAAACAGATTTCATTTTTCTTACAACCAATCTGCTTATGTTCTTGTAACTGTTGGGTGGGGGTACTTTTATTAACATTTCCCTTCATCTGTGATAATTTCAAGCTTGTTGTAGATTTGTACTCATTCTCAACACTACACTGTACTACACTCATACTCACATACAACACTCCTACACATACCCTGACTGCTGTCCTACTCTTAACACTGTCCTACCCTCAACACTGTCCTACCCTGAACACTTTCCTACCCTGACTACTGTCCTACCCTGACTACTGTCCTACCCTGACTACTGTCCTACCCTGACTACTGTCCTACCCTGACTACTGTCCTACCCTGACTACTGTCCTACCCTGAACACTTTCCTACCCTGACTACTGTCCTACCCTGACTACTGTCCTACCCTGACTACTGTCCTACCCTGACTACTGTCCTACCCTGACTACTGTCCTACCCTGACTACTGTCCTACCCTGACTACTGTCCTATTCTCAACACTTTTATTACTTTCCAAACCATAGTTTGGTCTAACAGCCTATTGACCATATGATAATTTGAACCAAACAGTGCTTGAAGCCAGTTGATTTGCAATAATTCATCTATGGAGAATTCAATTGATAAAAATAAAATAAGATTTACAAACAAGTTTGTACTTCCTCGACTATGCCTTATTGTAAACTATTGTTATCTTAGCTAACAAGTTAAAACATGGTAGGTTCTAAACATTTTTTTTCTCTTCAAACTTTTAAATATTAACTAATGACGACGCCACTAATTCCAATATTTTATTTTTTTAACATTAAAGACAAATATAAAAATATTTTATTTATTGGTTGGTAAACTTTTGTTTAGTTGTTTCTAGCTCCCTCTGATAATCAAATATTTGTAAAATATCAGTTTTTTTTTACCATTTAGCTCATACACACGCTCTGGTCCAGGTAATGCCTTGTGTGCCAATAAATAATTTTATAGATAATATTTTGTTTTAAAACTAAACCAAATGTTTGAAACAGGGTTTTCTTCTCCTTAAATTCTGGTCATTAACTTTAAACTGTTAATTATGTTCTTTTTATTTTGATGTAACATTGGTGTCCTATTGGAAATGTTTTTTTTTGTTACATTTTCTTTGATTCATGTTTTTATTTTCTAGTGTAGGCTTATTGTTTCTTTTATTATGAATAAAACAAACATATTTTTGCAATTAATTTTTTTTCATTAAATTTATGTTATTAATTTTAGTGGAAAAACAATTTTATTTAAAACTGGAATTGTATAAATTCTGAAGTAAAAAAATCTGCCTCAAGATATCTGCACATTTCTTGTTTAGTTGATTGAAATTAATTAAAGCTTAGTTATTTATAATATTTGACTTGATGAGTTAGTGATATTTAGTGTGTACTTTGTTAAAAGAAGTGTTGTGTAAGGGGGGGAGGGGGTTGGAGTTCCTGAAAGAAACATTAGCATCTTCTAACAAACATCACTGACATGTAGATGTAGAATAAAGATGACCAGAGCACACTAGCAATTATATTCCCTCCCTTTGCTGGTATACGAGCATACAAATCAAAGGATATTGGTGGTTTGTGGCACCAGTTCAATAGCGAATCTATTTTGAGAGCGTTGTTTAAATAATATTCAAAGTTTTGAAATGGAAGACAAAAATAACGAGATTTAATCTAACAGCTGTAACAACGGGGGACAACTTTCATGCTCTGTGAAGAATGGTCTATGAATTAGTGGGGGGGGGGGGGGGTAACGACGATTACTTGCCCCTAACGCTAGTCGGCTCTCGGTTGTGAAACTTGCACCAGTCACCGGGTGATTGAGCAATCGCAAGTATTTAATCTTATTATTTCCCCTTTTTTAGTGATCGCAAGTATTTAATTTTATTATTTCCCTTTTATAGTGATCGCAAGTATTTAATTTTATTATTTCCCTTTTTGTAGCGATCGCAAGTATTTAATACTGTTTACTCTTTTTTTTTTTTTTTTTTTGTTATTGAGCATAGCAATATTTGAATTAGTTTGTTTGTCTAATTTAGTATCTGAATAGATAAAAAAATTTAATTTTACGATGTTATCAGAGAATCAATTTATCTGAAAACTGCTGTATTAGAATTGTGCCAAAATATGTTAGCCCCTAACACTTGACTTGAAATTGTGACCATAGTAAAAACTCGTAAAATGTATCTTTATTTCTCAAACCGTGTTTACATTACACTTGCTGCGGGTTTTTTCTTCTAGATATGTATATAGGCCTTACATGTCTAGAAAAAACAACGCAATAAGCAATAAGTAATTTAGCATGCAAGTTCGGTGAAGAATTTTTTTTATATATGAAAATAACTAGTTGCTGGTTTACTTTTCTAGACATGTAACCTATATTCCTACTATCTATGTGTAAACAAGGTTTCATAGTTAGACTACAACTCACATAGGATTTGGATCAGAAATATCCACAAAGAAGTGTTCATCTATCTATCTATATATATGATTCTATACTGGGAGACGCTAGAAAACAAGCTGTAAACGTGCTCCCTACCACCCCCACCCCTACATGGTCTTAGTGAGCTGTGTTCACTCTAAATGTTTACAAGCAGAGCCGGGTTTAGTGACGACTATTAGGGGCAGATAATTTAGTTTGAAACGTAGGGGGGGGGGGGTAACTAAGTGGAGTTTACTTTAACGGGGGGGGGGGGGTGGAGGAGGGGGGGGGGGGTTTATCGTCCTTAACGAGCTACTTATAATGTTTTAAAGAAATATTTTCAGTGGCAGCATTGGTACTGTCGAATTCACAAATTATGAATAACTGAAAAGTAGAAAAAACAACTAAATAGTGGCGTATGATTTGCCGCGGGTCGGCTCGTATATATATAATTCTTTTCTGGGAGCCGTTAGAAAACAAGCTGCAAGCGCCTCCTTGCAATCCCCTCTCTTTCTCTCTATCACTATCACTACCACCCCCACCCCGACATTGTCTGGTGAGCTGTGGTCACGCTAAATGTTTAAAAAGCTAAATGTTTACAAATCGTAGAGCCGTAGAGCCGGGTTTCTATTAGGGGCAGATAATTTTGTTCGATTTTAAACTTACAGGAGGTAACTAAGAAATAACTAAGAGGAGGCTGCTTTCACGGGGGGGGGGGGGTTGTGTAGGGTCGGGGTTAGGGGAAAGGGGGGGGGGGGTAGTGTTTTAAAGCAAATATTTTCAGTGGCAGCATTGGTACTGTCGAATTCACAAATTATGAATTACTGAAAAGTAGAAAATAAAACAACTAAATAGCGGCGTATGATACGCTGCGGGTCGGCTCGTATATATAATTCTCTTCTGGGAGACGCTAGAAAACAAGCTGTAAACGCGCTCCATCCCCACCCCTACATGGTCTTAGTGAGCTGTGGTTCACGCTATGTTTACCTTCGTGGAGTCGGGTTTAGTGACGGCTATTAGGGGCAAATAATTTAGTTTGAAACGATTTTAAACGTTGGGGGGGGGGGAAGAGGGGAAAGGAAGGGGGGGGGAGGGGGAAGGAAGGGGGGTGGGTTATGGTCCTTAACGAGCTACTTATAGTGTTTTAAAGAAATATTTTCAGTGTCAGCGTTGGTACTGTCGAATTCACAAATTATGAATTACTGAAAAGTAGAAAAAACAACATTTGCTAACTAGTTGGTCCCAATTTCTTCACCATTTGCTAACTACCATAGCACCACTTCGTCTCCATTGCTTACTTGTAGTATATGCCTGCCTCATTTAGGTTCTTTACAATCGTAATTCTTAGGGTAGGCCAATCAAGTTTAAAATAGACGATTTTTCTGCTTACATTTATTTAATCCTAATCTAGGGATTTTATTTAGATCTTTTTCTGTAAATTAAAATAATTACAGGCCCTCAATCAAAGCTAACAGCTGCCCTCCTTCTACTGTTTTACAGGCTTCGTAAGGTCAACAACTCAAGGTCCTTTAATCTAGGTCCACAACTCAAGGTCCATTACTGAAGGTCCATTACTGAAGGTCCATTACTCAATGTCTCTTATGCCAACCTCCATGCGATTTTAATTAGATCAAATAATGTAAATAAAATGTTCTTTGTTTAAAAACTAAAATGTAGAGTTATCTCCCTTCTACCATAAACCAACAAAGGTTGCTTTTGTTTATAATGTTTGGCTTTTAGAACTTTCTGTACAAACCCTGCTCGAACTCATTTAGGCCAGGCTTCCCATATGCTTTTAAAGGCTTAATATGATATTCGACCAACTTTTAAGTTATATAAAGTTGGTCAAATGACGTGTGTGTTCATGTGTAGAACCACATTATTAGTGTTTCTTCCAGACTTTTTTCTCCAGGAAGGGTGGGGGGGGGGGGGTGGCGGACACTGTTAAAAGTATATATTTTCTGTATAAATCGTTCGGGGGGGGGGGGGGGCGGTAAACTCTCTTCGGAGGGGGGGGGTGAGGTGGGGGGGGGGAGATGCCTGGAAGAAATACTGCACATTATGTAGGCCCTATTTGCCAATTTGTCTAAAAACCAGAAAATGTTAATTAAAATTTAAACGTTGTTGACACTTTTAAAATAAATCCACCCCGCCCACGTCATGTGGGCGTATATTTAATAGCCCACAAACTGATAGCCTACATCTCCAATACACATGTCCTTAGCCACCATGCAACCATTTTATATATATATATATATATATATATATATATATATATATATATATATATATATATATATATATATATATATATATATATACCAGAAACAGGTGAAATCTACTTCCTTTGCCACATGGTCTCCGTCAGTTTCGAAAAGAGAAATTAATTATTTTTTTTTACTAATGATTGATAGACCTGTATAAATTGGATTGGGATTTTTTTTTCTGGAAATTCCCTCTGCTACTAATGAATGTTTATGCCAAACGGGTATTACCTGTTCTATTTTAATCCCAGACAACACTTTGTAATATTATCTACTGTCTGATTGGCTAAAGCGGCATGAAGCGGGTAGATGGAGGTTTCCTGTAGACTTTTGTAGCAATTAAATTGATTAAAGCCAGAGATAGTCTTGTCATACTTATGGCTAAAGTGTTAATTATTTTCATTCGTGCCAGCGTTAGTTTGGTTTTAATTATAAGGGGACATTTGTTTTTGCAAGCGTTAATTTGTTACTAACCAAATGAAGCTTTTGCTATGATTAGAACTTAAAATAATTTAAAGTAGTTCCGAATCTAGAGTTTTTATGAGATCATATGGATAATTCCATTATTTTATTGTTGCCACGCTATTTGTTTACTGAATGTTTCCTGGTTCTCGTCGCTACACTCCTCTTAAAAGTCAGAACCCCCCCCCCCCCCGGCAAAAAAATAATTACTAGTTTAAGGTAAATGAACACGTTATTAATTCTGTACTTTAAAACAATAAAGCTATTCATAGATATCCATCACGACACATCGTAGTAAAATTCTAACCCCCCCCCCCTCCAATTCAACACCCACCCCACCCCGCCCCACATGCAAGAAAAGTCAAATAAACTTATATCTTTAGAAAATGGGGTAGGACTCAAATTAAATATTAAAACAAGGGATTTTTTTTTATGTCACTAGAAAGACCCAGTTAAAATAAGAGTTTCTTCAAGGCATCTCTTCGCCCCCCCCCCCCCCCCCCCCGAACGAAATGAAAATTATATAGAAAATATATACTTTTAACAGTGTCCGCCTCCCCCCCCCCCCCCGAAAATT